CAAATTAAGCATGTGCCAAAACAAGGAAATTTGCAAAGCATATAAGGTGTGCCTGACATCTTCGATATGCTCCTCTTATTCTCATGATACATTTAAGGTAGATGCATATTTAGCCCTTTTGCATAACATTTGCCATCACTTGTCAACCAACATCCTCTATCACTTTACCTACTTGTCACTTTTATACACTTGTATTACACGATTTTTTTTTTTGCCCAACAACATATAATATATAAATTGGCAACAAATAATAAAGTTTGTATGTAACAGCACTGAGCTTGAATCATAAAGCGAACAATGCTTTTCAAACTGGAATGGGTTGTAAAACAGAATGGTGATACCGTAGAAATTAACTTGGATAGGCAAAGTAATATAGTTTCCTTATGCTTAGAAAATGCTGTTTGGACATAAACTGTACTACAGGATGTATTTCGCTTAACTGATGATTCTGACACAGAACACGGCATTTCAGAAAACATACAACCAACAGCAGTTTTGCAAATCTTTACTTAGGCTAAGTTTGTGCACAGTTCTCACACTGACATTTGATGAATCCTGCTCTGATACAGAATTTGCAAGTTTACTAGTTCCATTCAGCTTATCTCTCTCTTTCCTTGTTCGTTGTACTTTCTTCCACATACAATTTTACATCAGAAATAAAATGGTTAAGGAGCCCCCACCCGCCCAATGCAGAAAAAGAACAGATGCAAAAAGGAAAAAAGAAATCTCGAAATCACCCTAAGCTTTAGCCAGAAATGTAATTAACACTTATTTATCTAGAATAATTAAAGTTGTGACTGCCTGAAAGCACAGCAAAGATAATTGAGGTAGCCCCAGAATTTTTTTTTACACAGTTTGCAGTATTCCCACATGACTGCCACCTGCTCCCCCACTCAGCTTCCCCTATGCTCGTTTCCCCGGCAACCTTTCATTGGCTTTTCCTCCCAGCTATCGCTTTCAGTTCGGCTGCTCAGTCTAATCTTATTTGTTTTACACCCATCAAAACAAGCAGCTAGACAAAGAAAATCCTATAAGAATAGGGAAAAATACCATAGCTTTGTTTCCCAGTATATAATACATATCCAGAGAGAAAAGGAGAAGGGAGGGAGCACCTAAAAATGTTTAATTGAAACAAAAGTAGGAAGAACGAGGTGAATGTTAATGTGTTTTTCCTCCGGCTGCCCCCCACCCTCATGATTTGCTCTGTTCTGCAAGATTCAGAAGTCTGTATTTGATCTAGCCATTTTGCACAATTTATAAGAAAGCATATAAAGCAGGAAGGAGGGTGGGAACAAGGAATGAAGCATGTAGTTTCTGTTTTTTTCTACTAGAATACAACTCTAAAAATAGAAATACTACTATCACATGAACAAATTTAACTTCCTTCTATAAAAAAGGAAAGCAATCGCATTTCACACTAACATTAAGATTCTAAGCGAACAGTATGTGCAGTTGTTAGATTTCTGTTCAACTTAGCACTCACAGCACAAATGAAAATTAAAAGGCATTGTATTCTGGGTATTCAATACAAAGACACTATGACTGTCAGAGGAGATCCTCCCGATGCATGCTCACAGGATGAAGTGCTCAGTGCCATGACACTTGTCTATATTTATATAATAATTGTACACACACATTACATATACAGGTGTCTCATTAGAAATCACAATGACCAATAATTTTATTTATAGCTCACAATTTGCCATCCTAGGTAAGTAGAATTCACAAGGCATACAAACCACATGAAGCCTATTTTCAGCTTGCTACCAGCATTCACTTACCATTTTCAAGCCATTCCACTCCATCTGTGATCACAAAGATGGACCCTTACAGCCCCTCACAGTGTCAAAAGCAAAAATAACGTTATGTAAAAGCTGACATTCCTTCTTACAGAACTCCTGCCCAACGATGCAACAAATCGGCATATACTAGGCGCTGGTACACATACAAGCCGCCTCCTCTTTTTATGAGGTCATGACAGGAAACTCTTTGAAATACAATATGCAGCATTTACTGAAGCTCCTATAAATCACCCCATCTCACCCCCCCCCCAAACCATGCCTACTGCGCAATACACCAAGCCAAAAAGTATCAGTCCCAAGGCATTGCCTTATTTTTTTAAGGGTTCTATTTTGCATATGTGCTGCCTGCATGTGAATGTGGGAAACGTAACCATCCCAAACGCAACCATCCGTTCAGCATTTCTGTTGGCCACATGCAGCCTCATGCTGCAAGTCAACCTTTTCTTTATTCCAAAAGAGAAATTATAATGATCTTAAAATGGCAAAGTACATCCCTGAAGCACTTTATTAAAAGCTAGGCAAGTATTTAAATGCAGGAAGGAGGGAGGGGAGGGAGGGAGGAAGGGAAGGAATAGAAATGAAGGAAGAAAGACATTTAACAAATGAGCCAGCGGGTGCAAACTAAACTCATGTGACAAAACAGACTGATCAAAATGCAGACTTGGGGAAAGCTATATGTTCTACATACAGACTATGAAAGACTGCTGCAACAAAGAGATTTAAAAAACTACTGATACCTACCATAACCATTCTTAATGGCAAATAATGGGTCTTGCAAGGCTTCAATTCCTCTAAAGGTCTGATATGGTTTCGGGGAATTAAATGCTTTATTGTATCTTTTTTTAAAGAAAAAAAATCCACAAAACACACAGTGCAGATGTATGATGCAGCAAATGGAAGAAAAAACAAAAAACCCAAGCACTGTGTTGAAGCCCCTGATTTTAGAATGTAGATAACAACGGAATAGAGCCTTGATGAAATTGGCTAGCAGCTTCTCCTTTTTACATCCATTTATGGGACCATCTGTCAGCTGAAAGCAAGATCCGATTGGCTAGGGAAACTAAAGGAGGCGTTGCAACATCAGGTGCTATTGAAATTGGCTTCTGCCAGATTGACAATGTTAATGATCTGGTGACCTCTACAACAACAGAGACCAGATTTCTGAACTGCTGCTTGTGTCTAGTAATTAAGGGCCAGTTTAAGAACATCATATACGCATGGATTTTATCTACACCTTTCCCCCCACTCCAACACATTCTCTCTCTCTCTCTCTCTCTCTCACACAAACACACACACACACACACACTCACTCACACTCATATTCAGGGACAGTTCAGGCCACACCTAGAATTTCCAGCACACTGACATACAAGTATTGCACCTCAGTCATGCTTCAGTAACTGCATCCACTCACCTCTTCCATCTATGGCTCTGAAGTCTAGATTATTTTAACCATCTTATCTTTCTCGACAGTTGCTTTCCAGAGAAATGCATATTTAATGATCTGCCTCCAGGCTTAAAAGATATGACAAAAACACTTTTATGTGCATTTTAACTGTATTTATTCACTGTTGCTACCGTCTTTAATCTTCATGTATTTTGTGAATCTCTGATCCTAATAAAGGATGTCCACATATAGACATAGCTGTACACATATATTATAAACTGAATTTCTAGTCAAAATCACTACATACTTCTACAGACAAAAATTTAGGCAGCATGCTCAGGTAGGGTTTTTTTTTAAGTTGTGTACCTGTTCTATTCTGATTCAGCATGAAGGACAGTAATGATTTAGTACACTATCCATGAGATTATTTAAGGCTTTTTTTTCTTTATTGCTGAAGCTAGATTGGATGCTGCCTTACCATCTCTGTTTGACAAAATAATAAATTCCAGTTACAACCATATGACAGAAGTTTTCACAGATACAGTTAGTGAAAATTATTTTGATCAGGGCACTTACATGTAATTTAAAATATTCCCATCTTCAACTATACTGATTATGGACATGCTTGTTTCAAGATATCATAAGGTACTTATATCAACAATTATATTCAAAGGATAAATATATTTTGTATTACTAAACATATATCACGTTAATCTGAAATTAACAAATATATTTTCAAGACATTTTAAAATGTTTTGTTTTAAAGTTTCCAATGTGTTAAAATATAGAATTCTAATACTGGCATGGGCCACGCTATTTGTTCATCCTCCACTGGAGCCATGGCTGCACAAATAAACATAATCCATAACAAAAATGTGTCAGAAAAGCTAGTTTTAGAAGAAAATCAAATCAAGCCACAGAAAAATTAATATTAATTGTTACTGTTTAAATAACCTCAAGTTTTCAAACTCCCCTTGTGTTTTTGGATTTAACGGTTCTTCAGAACAAACTTATTAAAGATTCAACTGAACGATTTCAAAACTGAAAAAAATCAGTGAATACAAGAGTAAAGTAAATTCAGCGGTATGCTGATGACACATCCCAACTCTACCACAATATGTTCACTGAAAAAGTTTCATTTGTAATGCTAATTTTGAATTAATGTCTCATTGGTTTTTAACTGAAATTACATAGGGAATGAAGAAATCTTTTATCCATCCTTTCCTGTCTTAATACATATCATTCAGCACTGCTTAATGATTCTGGACATCACAAAGATTCAGCTCTTTGTCTTAAAACAACAACAAACACTGTAGTTACTACAAATTAGCTGTTTTGCAAATCTAACTGTCCATGCATTCTATATACTATGCAGCCATGTGCGAAACTACGCAAGGAAAATATTGAAGACAATTGTAGAAAAGAAAAGAAAAGAAAAGAAAAGAAAAGAAAAGATAAGAAAAGAGAGTGATAAGACAAAAACATAAATATCCACAGAGGCCTTTCTCAAAAAGACAAAGGCTGAATGTTATTGTTGGGGGGGGGGGATCAGCTTTATCAGTTTCCCAACAGGACCATTAACGGTGTGTGGGGGGGGTACAGACCACTCATCACTACCAGTGACACAATTTGTAAAGCATAAACATTTTCTGTAAAGCTTCCCAACCATCAACCAGGAATGCTCCAAGTGCTATTTTCATGCAATGACTTCCATCTCCCCCTCCCCCCAAAACTTGACTCAAAAATACAGCTAATCCATTTTCAAATTGAAGCCATACGACTGTTTTTTTCCCCTCCCTCCTCTTCCTTACCATAAATGAGCAGTTTCTTGACTCATTAATGACAGTTTCCTTTAAAAGAAGTGATCTCATAGCACTGTGTCCCTCTCCACCATGCATACATCCCAAAGGTTGCGGGTATCTTAGCATCAGAAACCGCTAGCAAGCTCTCTCATACAGAGCCCAGATGGACTATACTTGAAGCCAATTCAGCGTTAATAACTACCTACTCTGTGCAGTTAAAAAGCCTTACGTGGCATAATGTTCTAGGCAACAGCAGCTGATTAAAACCACAAATATAAAGACAATCCTGCTATCCAAAATGATTGAGGTGGGTGTAGTTACAAAATAAAGCAAAGGAAGATTTCTCCCCTCCCCCTTTTAAATTTTTCTCTTTGAGAATGGAATCTTTCCTAAGCATATGGAGAAGAAGAAAAACAGAATAATGCCCAGAAAATGTGACAAAATATTACCTCATTATTTAACAAAGCAGCACTAAGCGTCCTGGTGATTTCAAACATCTTGCCACAGATTTTGATTTTAGAGAAACAGAAAAAGAATCCTTTGCACATCCAGTGCTCTATTTGCACAGGAGATGTCAATTTTCCTGCACACAACAATGTTTTCTCCCTAGAGTTAACACATTAAAACATCTACTCAGTCAGCTGCATTTTCCCTCTTAGCATACAGAATAGACTCACTCCTTTTACATGCACTGCTCTCTTTGCTAGAATAGGCTGCTGCCCCAAACATGGTTGTTTCTTAAACTATTCTTTAAAGTAACAGTTCGCTCTCTAGCCACCAGGTGGGCAGTGTAGAATGATTCAAATTAAACATCTTGAGATAGCCAGTTGAATAGCTTGTAGCTATGATTCTTTATAGACTGAAAATGTGAAGTGTCATAAGAAACAGGGGTATAGCTTACATTCTTTTCTCTTCTGCCTTGCCACTACATACATGAATCATGCACTTCACAGAAAAAAATATTTTAGGGATTTCAAAAATTATTCACAGACCTTTTCCCCCTCTAAAAAAATAAGCTGCCATAAATGGAAAATCCAATAATATCATTTTAACATTTAGTAATTTTTATTCAACTTCTGCTATGTCTGCTCTCCTACTATCAGTACTCTTCTATAATAATCCTGTTTAATCTAGTTATCTGGAGTAAAGTTTCAGAAATAGATGATTACCCTGAGCATCCAAGCTTTTCTATGGTTCTTGCAAGTTTTTCCTTGACATTTGTAGTTTTCATGTCTGAAACCGATAGCTGATGGTTAAATTTTATGAATCTAAGACTCAAGTAAAAAAGAAATGTGTTCATTTATTTTTTCCAGCTCGTAATTTTTAAGTGAAACAACAAAAAGAATGCATTTTCGTAACTGGGGAAATACTACCTGAGACACTGCAAGGTCCTATTCAGAGATCAGGTTTGGGCCTAATAGTACAAATAGATTGATACAAGAAACAAAACATCAAAAATGCTATGTTATTAATAATAAGAATGACATTCAAACATTAAAATATATATTATTATGAAGTAGAAGATAAAGCAGCAGCAGCACAACACTTTACGAAGTTAGAAAGAATAGGACCTTGACCTAAGGACCTTCAAATGGAAAAGTCGATGTACGAGGAAAACAAGGACACAATTTCAGGAGGAAATGGGGATTATGAGGGTGTGCTAATGGCTTAACCAAATGGATAGGTCTTGGAAAGGGATGAGATGAGAAAGGAATCACAAAATAGATCACAGGCATGACTAAGTCCACATGCACTGGAAAACAGAACTGAATCTGAATTCTTATGCAATTCATGGAGAATTTCTGAATCCACTGAATAACATCTAAGTTGCAAGGGGACACTGTGCAAATAATCTATCAAGCCTTTTCTTGGTACCTCCTGAATCTTATGTCATGTTGGCTGGTATGTTTATTCTCTCATATATGGTGAGACAGCCCCTTCAACCTAACCTGTCAGGGGTTTCCATCATCATCATTCAGCAGGGCACCACCTTGAAAAAAATAAGTTTATTAATTAATAAATATTGAGAAGCCACAAATCCTTTTAGGTTTTTGAAAACAGAAAAAGAAGAAAATTGCTATGAAAATATGAAAAATGGTAAAGTTAGGAAAACAGTAACTTCCTGAAAAGATAGGAGAGAGAAGTGTAAGTAATAAAATAAAGTTGACAAGGTATCATTTCCACTTTTAGCCAGCACTAATTTCAGTCAAATAGCATTCATACATGAATGGCACTTATTCATATTAATGCACTGTTATTAACTCATTTTCTTTCAACATATTATACAGTCATAACACAAGATATAATCACAAGGGCAGACCCCCTCCCCAAAAGAGTGACAGTAAAAGAGAAGCTGCCTCAGAATTCAAGGAAGAGAGCTCTGTGGAAGAGAGCTTAACTCTGTTCAAATGCACGAATCGTTGCAAGAATATAAGGCACAGTTGTTTACTGTTATCTGTTTTCGGTAGCTTTTTTTCTGAAATGTCAAAAATGTAAGTGAAATACAGTGTCTTGTAGATGTATTCCCCCCCACCCGGCTGCTGTATCTTGACTTTTTAAAATATTGTGTGTTCTTATGTGGAATTGAAATGGTTTTAATTAGCATGGTTACCACTTGATGTAAACAAGATATCCAGCATTGTAAAGAAGAAAATCTTTTGATTGCAGTCCCAAATATTTTTATTGTGGCACAAACATTCATTGAACAAAAACAAATTGGTACTTTTTGGTTGCATAAGTATTCACATCCCCCCATCCCCACCCAGTCAAGGCTTGGTAGAATCACCTTTGCCAACACCTTTGCAGCTATGAGTCTTCTTGGGTAACTTTCTATCTGCTTTGCCCATCTGGATCTTGCAATGTTTGCCCATTTTTTTCCTGGCAAAATTGCTCCAGCTGTTTCAGATTATATGGGGATTGTTGCTGAATAGAATATTCAAGACTTCAAAATCAGATTCAGTTCTGGGCCATTCTAAAGCATTAAGGTTTTTGTTTCGAACCACTTTAGTTTTACTTTGGCCGTGTGTTTATGATGACTGCCCTGGTAAAAAGTGAACCCACCACCCCAGTCCCAGGTTCCTTGCAGAATGAAACAGGCTTTCCTCTGAAATTATTTGGCTCTGTACATCTTGCACTCAACTCTGACCAGTTCCCCAATTCCTGCCAAGGAAAAGCTTCACCATAACCTGCAGCCACCACCATGCTTCACCATGGGAACAATGGTCTCACATCTATTTTCACTACAGCTTTTGTACCACACACTGAATTTTGCAATACCATCCAAAAGTTCAATTTTAGTCATTTCCCCATATGTCTTTTAGCCAACTCCAAACTAGCTGTGTTATGGTTGTTTCAGGGATGGCATTCTTCTTGTCGCTCCTCCATAAAATTTAACTTTATAGACCGGCCAGATGTCCCGGGGCAGTTTGTCCCATCTCAGTTGCAGATCTCTCCAGAATGTTCAGAGTCACCTTTGGCTCCTTGGTTGTTTCTCTGACTCTAAAATTCTGAAATGCTTGCATTTTAGTGGGCAGCCTTCTTTGTTCAGGGTTCTTTCCATTTTGTAATAATGGATTTAACAGTGTTCCAGGAGATGTTCATAGTTAGGGTATTCTTCTATATCCCAATCAGTGCTTATCCTAGGGTTGCTTTGATAGTTCTTTGGTCTTTCTGATTGTTTAGATATGTTCCCCAACAAACTCTGGGGCTTTCCAGCATTTAAACTGATGTTATGTAGCACTGGGACTACACATAAATGGATTCCACTTGCATTACTCTGGAGGCAGTGGGTGCACTAGGGCTTACTTAGGTAGGGCACAGAAAAGGCAGTGAATACTTTCCAATCTCACCCTGTCCTTACCCACTGGAACATCTCCTTTTTCCTACTCTTTGAGGTAGCTTTGTTGATCTTGCTGAGCAGACAAAGTGCTACCCATGTCACCTGTGAGGGGACTGGGGGCAGAGTTCTACCTCCAAACTCAGATCTGGGTATCTGAAATATCCCGTGGCCCCTCAGAGGCTGTTTAGGGGCCTTAGCATTGCTCCTTAACAACAATAACCTTTATCCATGTTTACACAGAAAATGGTCCTACAATATGACTGGCTGGGGATTGCTGGGAGCTGTAGGACTTTTTTCTATGTAAACATGTGCAGGATTGCACTCTAATGTCATATATTTATAGTGCAAAATAATATTGGGTGCCTTTTCAAACTTTACAACTTCACTTACATGTCTAAATACAAGTAAACATCCTAAGTTAGATGACTCACTAGAACACTTTCAGTTGAAACACTTTCAAATATAATCTGAAAATGTTATGATGCCTCCACCCCCAGCTCTGAAATGCCTCTGTCCTTTTCCAAGGCAAGCTGGTTCTCAATCTGCCTGAGAAATTTCATTAGGTAGCCTTGAAACTACCAAGTCATCTGGGCAACTTTACCCTTCTACTTTCTCAGAACTGGAGAAACCTAGCCCTCCTCTTCACACATTTTACACTTACACTGAAACCCCCTTTTCCATTTTCTGGCCCATTCACCGCATGGAGGGGTCCACCTAGAACTCTAACCAACTTTTTGAAGTAAGCCATGTTATTTATTTATTTAAACCATTTCTATGCCGCCCCATTCGCAAAAAGCCTCAGGGTGGCTTACAACATTAATAAATAAACATAGTTATATAATTAGACTTTAAAAAACGGAAACATCTCGGCACATACATAAAAACCCAATAAATACAGTTCATAAATTAAAAATTAAAATAACCTTTAAATAAAAAGGTATTGGCCTGGCGCCGAAAAACAAATGACGGCGCCAGGCAGACCTCTCTGGGGAGCACATACCATAGGTGGAGCGCCACCCCAGAGAAGGCCCTCATCCTGGTACTCACCCTCCTAATATCTTTCACAGAAGGTTCCCAGAGAAGGACCTCTCCCGCTGATCTCAAGGGGCGAGTGGGCATATATGGACGTAGGCAGTCCTTCAGGTAACCAGGACCCAAGCCGTTAAGGGCTTTATAGGTGATAACCAACACCTTGAATTGGGCCCGGACTTCAATGGCGAGCCAGTGAAGCTGACAGAGAACTGGGGTTATATGAGAACAACACCCAGTCCCCGTCAGCAACCTGGCA